AACAATTTACCCTGCACCAGAGAAATTATATATCAAATGAAAGAATATATTATAAGATTCGAAATGGTTGAATCTAAAAGTGTTTTAAAAGAGTATACGGAACCCACAGCACTCCGGAAACCCAAACTTTATGATTCTTTAATTTCTTTCAATTCTTTTTACGAAGCCTGATATTTTCCAAACTAAGCAGTGGAAAAGCTGTTTCATTTGCAAAATCAACCAGTGGAAACATTAATTTCCCCCCTTTTTCAGTGAAGGGGTTACAAAGCCAAAAACAGCAAGAGCCTAAACAAAACGGCGGGGGCCCCCCCCGCGCCCAAAAAAAAAAAACACATTGCTACAAGCACTACAAAGCATAACCTAACAGTAGATTGTATGTTCACGGGTCGCGGACGCGGCGTGTGGGCGGGGTGGGGTGGGGGGGGGGGGATTACGGTTAGGCGGCCCCCTCCGCCCCCGGTCGTCCTTGTGGGGCGGGGGGGGGGGCGCCGGTCCTGCCGGCCCCCCCCGCGCGCCCCCGCGGGCCCCCTTGCGGGTATAATAAAGAGAGAGCAGCGCCTCATTTAATTTTATTTGTCAAAAAATGTTGGTGTCAATTTCTGGTACGCGTCTGTGTGGGGCTGTTCGAGTAGCTGTGTGTGTCTCATTTGTTGTTTGGCGTTTTGTTTCTGTTTTTCCCCTTTCTGTTTCGGCATTTGGTTTTCCCTTTCATTTTATTTGCTGTTTCAATTGTCAGCTCCGCTTTCAGCTGAAAGTGGCTGTTGAGTATTAGGTCTAAATGGTGTATTACAAAACATTCCAACAAGAGCAACAACGAAGGAAGAACGAACAAGAAGTGCCATCAAGGAACTCTTTATGATGATATGGTGGCAAAATGTGGGTATGTCTGGGCTGGGGATGGCACTGCCAAAGAGGGTTGGGTTGTGTTTTTGTAGGGGCGTTGCACAAATTAAACCCGAATGAAAATTAAACGATGCATGAAATTACTTTGCTTCTTTTTTACCCTCTTCCTGTTTCTCTCTTTCTTTCGCGGGGTCTGCATACCCTTGAAGAGGGGTCTATGATTATTTGAAGAGCTGTTTGCAGAATCAGAGAAGTATTTTCACAGATTTCTTTGTTTTTGATGGGCGCAGCTCATTAATTGGGAATAGATGATAGAAATATTTGATCATATGGGTGCAAAAGAGACCATAAATTATTTTTCTCTGAAGATATTTCAACAATATTGATTAATCTCTGTGTTCTTCGTTCTTGGTAGCGCGGCTAAATCAATTTAAACATCGGAACAACTTGAGGATTGATAATAAAAACTAATGCGAGTCCTGTGAGGGTATCAAAAACGTCCGTTCCATAAGCTAGACTTTCTTCTTCCTTTTATTTTCTGTTGGAGGCAAAGTTCTGCTGCTTCTTCTTCTTCTGTTGCGACTTTGCCGTTGGCTTTTGGCTTTTGCCTTTGAGTTGAGCTTTTCCCTCTGCCCTGCCTGCGGCGGGTTCCGTTTAGGGGTCGCTCTGCCTGGGGGTTGGGCGTGGGCGTGGGCGTTTTTAATTTTTAATGTGCAGTCAGTTGTTGTTTCTACCGTAGAGAAGGACACACACCATTTACGCAGTCAGTCTACCACTGCAAAAGACCGACAGAGGCAAGCGGGACGCAGTCAGTCGCAGTCAGTCTAGCACTGCAAAAACAGCAAAGCGGAGTGTGGGGACCGGCAGTCCCCGGCCAATTTGCCAAGTCAAATGTCACTCAACTGCAATTAAGGCGCTAGGAACGTTGGGGCGGATCCGATGACACGGGCCATAGGTAAGAGTTTAAGCGAAAATTGCCATAGAAAATTGCTAGGATCATCGGATTTTAATTATGCAAAACAAAATATTGGAAAATAGCCTAAAACTATTTTAGTTGTGAGGGTCAACGCTTGACGGATTTTGGTTCCAATAACTTGGTCTTGGTCCGAAGTTCTCTCTCAATCTCCCAGGCTTCGCCCTCCTGTTTTGTGGTTCCCGCCAGAACTATCGCATTTTTAAAGGAGATATAAAATCTTATATCATTGGATCGAATCGTTGAATAATGTTGAATAGCTTTCTGTGGCTACGCATGGAAATGATATATTTGCAGGTCGATCAATACATCCCTTCTCAATGTGCAAAAATATTACAATTTATGTGACAGGACTACTTGTGGGGGACTGCCACTCCCGCTCCCGCTCCCTCTTCCCCAACCGGTGACACAAATCTTCCAGCTTATTAGCACATTTTATTGCACCATCTACTCCATTTATCTGCCTATTTTTTTTGGCGCTGGGAAACCCAACAAAAGTAACCCTCACAATACGTACGGAAATGAATTTATAATGCATGACTTTTGTTGGTTTGTTTGGCTTGTTTGTGCTATAAAATATTCCTACTGTCATTTTGGTTTGAGCCCAAAAAGTGAATGCATGTGTGGGCTGGGGAGTGGCGAGTGGGGAGGCGACGGCAAAAAGGCGCAACTGGAAAGGAAAACAACTAACTCATTTTGTGGTTGCCATCTCTTTTGGCCTCTTTTTGTATGCCAATTGTCTGCCACAAACACACAAGGCTCCTGACACACACACACACAGATACTGCCACAGAAACACACACAAACACGGTAAAAAGCATTCAGCGTATTTTTTATTGAAGGCGCGACTGCGATTCTGATTCCGATTGCGATTCCGATTGTCGCTCCCTTTATACACCCTAGCCGAGGGTATGCCAGTTTCTATCAGTCGTTTGTAGCCTTTACTCGCCTGTTTATATTCAAGTAAATACCTAGACAAAATGCATATAGCTGCCATTGTAAAAAATCGAATAGGCTGCAGTTTGAATTGTTCCTTCTAGCTCAACCAAATCTAAGTTTAGCATACGTCTGTAAGAGTACAAAATGCTTCGGCCTCAAAGTTAGCCCATCTTTGCCTCTGTCTGCCGCTTTGACTGGCCTGCTCTCTGCTCCATTCTTCCGCTGCTGCTGCTGCTGCTCTCTGCTTTGCCCTCTGCCCTCTGGACGATTTGTGTGCACATTGTTCAATATTATAGTCGGCCCTGTCTGTGTCTGTCTGTGTGCATAGCCTCCGGCTTGGGGTTTTGAGTTGGGCGTGTGACAGCTCAATATATTCGCCATTTGTCGCTGTATAAACCACATAGCAGCCTTCTCCATCCTCCTTCTAACATTGCCTTCTCCCATTCCCTTACCACCCCCGCTGCTTTTTTCCACACTCAAGGTGTGTGCCTCTCTGTGGCGTGGCGTTAGGAACCTGTCGCCGTGGCTGCCACTGCTCTTCTACTGCCGCTGCCATTGCCGCTGCCACCGCTAGTTGTCATATAAATGTGGCTTGCTGAATGTCGCAAAACTGTTGAACGATGCCAGAAACAACAGGAGATCCTCCAGACACCACCATCGGCCCTCTGTCAAGGGAGCGCACATACGGAAGCAGAGGAAGAGGTACTCATATGTGGATAACGATGCACATTGATTCGAGAACAAATGATAAAGGATCAGGAATGGATAAGAAATATGTGAATAATCTGAATCATTGTCAGTCCAAAAGCATCCTTTTTAATGTGTGGTTAGAGAAGAGTGGCGGGGGTGAAATAAATGTGAAATAAATTAGGAGAAATTTCCAGTGAAGACTTAAGTTTTTGCCAACTTTCTTAGAAAGAGTTTCCGAAAGAGTTTATATAGATACTGTAGATCCTTTAAATTACAAAGATATTCCCACTGTTAGGTGGATTTTTACCCAAATAAAAAGGTGCTTAAAATTAATATATATCACCTTAAAGCGGTGTATTGTCGCTACCTATCTAGACAACTCTTTATTGCCATTATCTGGTTCCACTGTACCTATCCGTTTTGCAGAGTGTATGTATGCATGTGTGTGACTCCATTGCTTGCCTGTAGCAGTAGCAGTAGCAGTAGTGGTTGCTGCTGTTGTTGTTGCTGGAGAAATGCAGGAAAATCAATTTCGTTCTCCATTTGCAGTTGGCAATTTGCATAATAAGGTCGTTTGGCGCAATTTGCATGTGAATGTGATAAATTCAATGGCGGCGCTGCACGTTACACCACACACACAAACACACACACACACACACACACACACACACACCAACACACATGAGCGTAGATGTATGCGTGAGTGTTTGTTTTTTGCCAGTGTGGCCACAGAACTCACTTTTTCACGTTTGACGTTTGGAGAAATGAAAAGTGTAACGGTATATTAAATAAGTGGGTGTGTCCCCCCACCGCGTTACCCCACTCCACATGCAAACTGCTGGGGGAGGGCTGCCATATGGCTACAAACTGCTGGCTACATCCTGGCTACTGCAGACCGAAAAGTGCGCCAAAATGTCGCAAAAGGCAAATTTGGGGAGGGGCTTTGGCGTTTGTTTAGGTCTAAGCTATTTTCAAAAGGGAATTAAGACTTTAAAATCCCCTACTCTGCAGTATCCACCATGGTGAGTTGGTATATTCGCGTCTCCACGAGCTGTATAATTAAGAGATTTTAAATGGATTGTTGAGAGACAAGCTAACCGACCTGCAGAGTATTTGGGGTTCAACTTTCATTATTTCTATGCAAAAAATGCGAGTTTTTTGTGCATTTTTGCTATGCCCGCCACGTGAATTGTAGACTGCAGTGACAGGCACTGGGCTGTCCTGTGTCCCCCCAGTGGCAGCCCGCGTCCAGAAAGCAGAAGCATGCAAGTCAAAATTCATGTGACAGCAGGCCCCAAAAGGTTTTATGTGTTGTTTGGGTTTTCTGTTTTGGACGGAAAATATGGCCAGCAGGAATCATAACTGCTGAAATATGTATGTGGGCTGGGTCTGTCATCCATAGTGGTGGCTTGAGCAAAAGTTCGCAGCCACTGAAGGCTTAACAGTGAGCCCTGCCACGGGGGAGTACAAAGGGGGGGGACATGACATTAAAAATAATTTGCAGCACTCGCATAGTCATTTCTCTAATCTCCTTTTCTCTCTCCACTAATTGCAGACATTAGCAGCTCCCTGACAATGACCGAGGTGAAGATACCCAATCACATAATGCGTCTGAAGAGCGCCACTCTGGGCTGTCGTTATGCGCTGGACGGCGAGTCCCTGTACTCGGTGAAATGGTATAAGGATGGACACGAGATCTACCGCTATGTGCCGCGAGATAAGCCCCCCGGACAGGTGTTCCCCCTGCCCGGAGTCAACATCGATGTAAGTAGGAATATGGCAACAGGTGCTGCTGCTGCTGCTGCCAGCAAAATGAAACGAACGAAGGAGGGAGAGAAATTTAATTTAAAATTTTATTACAATTTACGGGGCCTGGATTTCTGGGGAGGGTTGGGGATTGCTTAGTTGGTTGGTTGTTGTTTAGGATTTAGTGTTACGACCCGATCATAATGATTATTTTAAAACATGTAATTGCCACAGAGCACCCTCGCAGCTTCCCCTCCACGCGCCAGAGTCGCCCACATTTCTGGGCGTTTCTTTCCTTGTTGCTGATTACGTCGACGGTGAGATGAAAATTGCTGCCACGTAGTTTTGCAATTTAACTTTAATTTAATGTGGATGTAACCTGCTTTTGTTGCCCATAAAAATGTGTGTCTGTGCGCTGCTCTTCAGTGCTCTTTACTTCTCCTCCTCCTCTCTCTGGCTTGGCTTGGGGAGGGTCACGTGTTGGTCTGCTTTTGCTGCGATTGAAAAGGTTAACGGAAATCACTTAAAGCTGTCAATATCCCAGACAAAGTTGATATCCTTTGGCCTCCCACTCCACTGGAGGGACTCTTGCGAGCCGTTCTAATAATAATAATTTGCCAAAAGCACTTAAGTGCGTCTACTTTGTGGGGTGGCAGGGCAAAGGCAGAGCAGTGCAGAGCAAGTGCAGGGCAAAAGCCAGAGCAAAGGCAAAGTAAATCCCGTCAATTGTCGGTCTAACGTGGCGTATGAGCAATGTGCGAGCGTGTTTTATGGCCTGTGCGTGTTTCCAAGCGGCTAAATATGGCAAACCAGAAACGGGTGGACGGGGACGGGGACGGGAAATATGAGAGCCTGGTCGAGTCCTTCAGTTCCCAAGTGAAACAACAGCCCAGGCCAGGCGTGCAGGCAGTGGCGGCGGCCATAACGCGTAATGCGGCATAATTTTCGCTGATCTCAATGTCTGCATTTGGACCCGGCCAAAAAGGGTTGAAGGCCTCAACCGCGCTTGCAGGCAGATGATTAGAACAAAAGGGAGAGCCAGAGAGCGAGACAGAGAGAGAGAGCGAGAACGGGTTGTGGCTGTGCAAAAGCTCTTGGGACGCTGTTCGGGACATGATAAAGTGGAAATATTTTCATGCGAGCGCCTTGTGGCCGGGACTTAATGCCGGAAATGCTCTCTGCAGAATTTTGGGATATTGTTTGGGATATTTCCGAAAATCTAGTTAATAATAGAGAAATTTTGTACACACATTAAGTATTTAAAAGTGTTTAGAAAATTGAAGAAGATTATGCCGTAAGTCCAGCCAGCCAATCCATCATAATTTTCCCTACTAAGCATCCAAAACAGAAGTATTCTGCTTGAGCTGCTTCTACATTCTATTCTGTATTCTCTGCGTACAATGGGATTCCACAATATATTTTATATACTTCAGATACTCCTGCAAACTCTTATTCCCATCGCCTAGAAACTATCTCTATCTCTAGTTAATATACTTCAAAGATACTAAGCGCAAAACCGAAGATTCTCGTGGTATGTCTCCCTCATTCTCAATGAAATTTGCATCCGCAGCAGAGATGTGGCTTCCTTTTACGGCCACTGCAATCAGAGCAGCATAAACAAGGTTAGAGCTGAGATTCTTGTTGGCCAAAACCAAATTTGGAATTACAAATAACAACTTCAATCTGCAATCATGAGCGAAATGGCCAGTGCATGTTCATCCGAAGAGCATTGCTAGAGGGGGGAAAGGGAAAACTTGAGACGGTTCTGATGACAGGGAGGGGGGGAACGTGAAAGCAATAAAGGGAGACTGCAATTTGAATTGTGGCTGGATTTGGAGTTTTCTTTTGGCGAGAGCAGAACAATTTTCCATCCGTACTGCGACTTGTCTTGGAACCTCCTCTCAACCCTCTTTTGACCAACATCCAGCCCGAATGGCGGGGGTTATGGGGCGCTGACAACTTGAGCGTGCCCCAAGAATTGGCTAAAAGACGAGGCAGCAGCCGCCGAATAAGAAGCAGAACCCGACTTAAGTACTGCCAAGAAGGGGAACAAACAAAAGCCAGGCCAGTCCGCAACCATTGTAACTTGAAGACTTGAAGGGCTGTGGGGGCTGTGTTGGCTGGGTGGCTGGGGGGTGTGGCAACGACATCCGAAAACAAGCAACAAACCAAAAATAATGTTGAACGTGACTTTTGTGATTGTTTACATCAGAGTGGGATAGAGAGACAAGCCAAGAGAAATAGAGAGAGAGAGAGAGAGAGAAAGAAACCAAACATAAAGCGAGAGCAAAGAATTTTCATAAAAATTTGCTCGACAACGGACTAAAAATGGAATGAAATGAAACTTTCTTTGTACATCTGGTACTCGTTGAGTAAAGGGGTATATTGTGGGGCTGCTCAACAGGCAGAAGACAGCTAGATACTGATCACAAAAAGATTTATATTTAGTCTTGATCAGCCAAGAATAAAACCTGGTAAATAGAATTCGGAGACTCCACTTTAATGGCGCCTTTAATTGTAAATATTTGTGCTCCAGGGTATGTCGTAGTTATAGTTTGACTCCAGGACAACGCTCTATTTATTTTTTCAAATATTTATTTATATATGTATATGCTCTATGAAAAGGCGAGTGGATAGAGGAAGAATTAGGCAGCGAATAATTTGCATGGATCGCTGAGGCTTGGCTTGGCTCTGTTACTTGCGCTGTTAACTTTACAGACCCTGTTGCTGACTGCGGCGTCTCAGCAATTCGCACATATGTATGTACCTCGGTACAATGTACATATATGACTATCAAATTGAAGGGAATAATGTACATATACATATATCCTTAATCTACAATGCAAGCACTATTCTGTTTCAATTGAATTGGCTGTGATTAAGTGCACAAAAAATACATGCAAACAGCAGGTATCTTATGGTCGGTATATGTTCAATGAACATACCTCCTATGTGGATCATGTGTGTGTGTGATAATAAAACTGCAACTTAAAGAACTTGACTGCAATTGTTGCTCGAATGTCTCGGAGGAGAACAAAACGAAGATGTTTGAGTGACTTTTACAACAGTTTTCGCTCTCCCCCAGCCCCCACTACCACATGGGCCATTCCCTTACAGAGTTGCGTATCTCCAATCTTTTATGCTCTTCCCCATTCATTCCCTTGCACCTCCTCTTTTTTCCCAGTCCACTTTAAGTGTGGAAATTCTTGCGATTGTTTCTAGATATTTCATTGCTTGGCTCTTGGGTTTGGTGCGTTGCGGTTTCGGGCTCTTCTTTATGACTTTTGTTTGCTTTTCTGTTACGTTTCGAGCAAATTAAATTTGCTCGGTGATGTGAGCCACGCCTACTGTCAGTCCCCAAACTAATAATAAACTGTACGAGTGCTTGGATTCTGCGGGCGCCATCATCAATCTTCATTTTGTAAAGGGAATTTTGTAAAAAATGGAGATCCATTGGAAAAATCTTTAGCTCTAATTGCATTTGATTTTGTGTCGACTCATTGCCGTATAATTTGTCTTTTTGCAGCTGCGTAACTCCTCGGACACACAGATAATCCTGCGACGCGTAACACTCCAAAGTTCTGGACTCTACCGCTGCGAGGTGTCCGGCGAGGCGCCCGCATTCAACACCGTCTCCGAGTCCGAGACCATGACCGTTGTGGGTAAGTTCTTTTCGACATAAAAAAAGAGGATGAATGGAAAGAGGGATGGGCGGGTGTCAAATGAACATGGACAACCGTGGCGACAACAGAAAATTTAATTAAAATGCTAATAGTCCCGGGCAGTCAACAATGTTGTGAACGACATCTGAAGTTGCAGCGGGTAGCGGGTAGCGGGCAGCTGGCAGAGACGTGCAAAAAGATGTGCAACATAATTGGTGGGGTACCGGAGAGCGGGTGGATAAACAGCAAAAGCCGAAGAGCAGCCAAAAGGATTGACAGACACAAGTTAAAGGATAACAGCAGAGGACTCCTGTCACCAGATACGGAGGAGCAAAAAACCCATTTAAAGACACATCCGAACCGTCTGAAATCTGAAATCTGAGTCCGAGATGCATGCAGGTTGTCAGCCCCGCTGTCAGGAGTCTTTGATGGTTTCCCGCTCACACACTCGGATGGCTCGCATATGCGGGATGAAGTGTGCAGTAAAAAATGGTCTTTGGGTTGGAGATAAGATAAATTTAACTTTACTGCAGAGTGAGACTTTAAAGAGCGCAGAAGAAATTATAGAATTAAGAACTAAGACAATTAGCAGGAGCACGAAAATATTTTAGAGAGAATCCTGCAAGCAGTTTTAAATTTAAAGTTGGCTCCTTTCTTCGCAATTTTCTTGTATTTTCTGCAATTAATTCTCGTTCCTTCGCATCGTGCAATCCATCAGCAATCTATCGTCAGGGCTCCCTCTACATATCGCTACACTTATCGCTTCTGTTGCAACTCCTCAGCGACATTAATCAACATAATTAAATTGAAGTTTTCGACTCAACTTTTCCATTGCAACAGCGAAACACGAGACGGCTTTAAGGCGTTCCACCGCCGTTCTCAGGTGTCGCTGACATAGATGGCGACGGACCGACCCAGTGCTTTGGGGGGTCTGGTCTCCAGCTACGTTGCCGTCTCAGCCGCGTGGTGCACCATCATCGTAAATGAAATTCATGCAACATGGCAATGCGTTGCAAATGGCATTGTCGAGTCGAGTCAACTCCCAGGCTCCTTGTAAAGCTCGCCTCTTGTTCGCTGCTTTTAAAGGAATCCTCTCCCCCCCCTTTACCTCCTGCTCCCCACGTTCCCTTTTTTTGTTCGCTTTCTTTACGGTTTCTGTGTGTTGTTTTTATTCCGTGCGCTGGCAACCCTAGACACTGGATAGCACTCTGAGTGTGCACGCTTTCTCTGCCTTTCTCCTCCAGCTTGCAGCTTCCAGCTCCCAGCTTCCACTCCTATCTTCTTTCGCTTTTTTGCTCTTAATACAACTGCATAATCTAAGCAAACAATTGAAATGGAATTTTTGCAGTCGCCGTTGCCGTTGCCGTTGCTGTCGCAGTCGCAGCTACAACAAAGAGTCGCGTCGCATCGCCCATGTGTGTACACTGTACAGAGAAGGGGCGTGGCATATACCCTGCAACTGTCATTGCAATTTTGAAGTAAAATTATGTTTTCATGTCGCTTTGCCCAGTCGACTTTTAAGTCCCGCCAAGACAATGGGCGCCAGCTGGCGAAACGGGCTGAAAAAAAAACAAAAAAAACTTGGTTTCACTTTACATACAATAAGGGGAGAGGGGAACCCCCCCGGGGATTCGGGCTTCATGGAAGGTTTTCTTCAATCAAGTTCGGGGTTCAGGCAGCCGCCGCCTCGCCTGAAGTTAATCACAAATTTATAAACTCATAAAAGAATCAAACGGTTATCAATATGTGCAGCGCCACCAGCGCAACCAATGGAGTCCAATCCCCCCGAGAACCGGACCCAGAACATCATCTGGGCCCTCTCTCTCTCCCTCCCCGTCTGCCTTGAGGCAGAGAAACCTGCATTAGCTTGTGGGGCACGAGCAGGCGGAACGGGGAGCAGAGCCAGGACCACGCCCATTGCCCAGGACAACACGCACTAAGCACATTTCATGCTGATTTTCCCTTTGGCCATTCCCTGAGCTACCAACCCTCCATCTTCCTCAGGACTTGGTCGCATTGGAATGTCAGGGAAATGGAAATGGTTTTGCATATTAAACAATGTGTCTGGGCAGCCAAATTGAACGATATTCGAACAAAAGTCGAAGGCGAAAATCGAGCAAGAAAAGAAATGTGAGCGAGCAAAACGCCAGAGAATATAAAGAAATTGTGGGCGTTGCAAATCGAACCCAAACGGAGGAAGTCAGAGCAAATAAGAGTTTGCGGGGTAGTGTGGAGCGGGAGCGGGAGAGGGAGCGGAAGAATCTCATCATCAACAACTGTGTCAGCAGCATCATCATTCGTGGGCGTATGTGGGTGGCAGTGAGAGTCAGCCACCCGGGGGGATGGTGGATGGTGGATGGTGGTCCTGCTAATGCAAGTGAACCATAAAATATGCTTTAGTGAGGCTCTGCCTCGATTGTCCCCACAGAGACCTCTGGCATCGCCCCCAATGTGGCTGGAAATGTTAATTTTGTGATCATAAAAAGCCAGCGAAAAGTCTTCCTGCGTGGGAAATCTTTTATGGATATGATTTGGAAGGGATTCCCAAGCTGATTTATTGATATGGAAGTTGGGCAAATGTATTGGTTTCGGTTCGGTGGTATGGTTGGAGTGGAAGTCGGAATGAGCTGGCTCTCAGATGCATTCATGATGGGATGATGCATGTGTCTACACATACAGCTGATCAGTTAATTTCTACATAGTAAATAATGAAATTGATGTTAGATCTGGACACTATAGCTTGTCGGCTTAGTATTGTCTGTTGAATGGAGAAGATTGTGTGCAGGGCAGCAGCTGTAACACCCCTGGTTAACAGCCTGTTAGCTCTCCGTTAACAGCCTGTATCCGGTGTTAGTTAACAGCGTACTGTTACCGCTCTCTGACATCGCTTGCTCTAGAGCGGCTTAACTCTACGATTTATTCTTCAATATTATTTAATTTTCTTTCTTGCAATAAGTATTTGATGGTTAGAGCAATGTCCCTCTGTTTCTCCTGTACATATTACTTCTCTTAGGAGTAGGAGAGTGGGAATAGGACAAGATAATCCTCAGGTTCTCAGGTTCCTATTCTTTCAGCTGCTCTTTCTTCTTCTGTTGATGTTACATCTGCACCATTTGCTGCGTCTCTTCACTCCTTTCTTCATTTACTTCCTTGTCGATTGTTATTTACATTCTTTGCTGTCGATTCTCTCTCTCGCTTTCCTCTTTTCATCTCACTTTTCTTCTGTCACACTCTTTGTTTTGTCCATCTGTCGTCAGTTGGTTGAAAAAAAAGGAAAAGAAACGAAACGAAATGGAAGGGAACGGAAATGAAATGAAAGGGAACGGATTGAAAGGGAACTGCAGGATTGTCATTCCAATGGAAAATCGCGACAGCTTCTTGTAGTTCCAAAAGTACTGCAGTCCGACACTATGTCTCCGTTTTCGCTTGCCCCTTCTCCACTTTCTCTTCCACCCACGCTCCGCAGTTTTTTCCTTATTTTCCTCTTCCCACCCCCTACGTCCTTTTAGTCCGCAGGCCCCCTTCCTCATTTGTTATCTTTAATTTTACATATGGCAACGATTTTTAATGCACGGTACAAGTCGCACCCCTGCCCTTCCTTTCCTTTTCTGTTCTCTTTCGCTCTCAGTTGCGGCATGTTTGAGTTAAGCCAACATTACAGTTACTGTTATTTCCTCAGCTCTTCCTGTATCCGTATCTGTGTCTGACTCTTCCATATGTACGTATGGACGTTCGAGTGTGCACGTGTATCGGTGTATGCGCGCGTTTCGCGCGTTGTTTTATAATTAATGAGCACGCAAGGCTCTCAACGCTGGGAACATGTCCTGCTCTCTCGCTCTTGCCGTCTCTCGATGGGTCCCGTGCCCATCCTGGGGGCTCTGGGATCCTAGGGTCCTTGGGCAGGTCTTCTACTTGTTCCCCCCGCTGAATTTATGGTTAAGTGCACTTTAAAGGACAAACACATATATAACTCACTTTCCCGCTGCGTTTCTTCTTTTCCTTCCCCTCACACACACACACACACATCCCATCCCCATCCCCATCCCCAGCCCCAGCCCCATACTCGTACTCGCACTCGTCCTCGTATAATGTGATCGCTTATCGATTTTACAATATAAAAAAGCAATTGCCTGCATAAAGGACCAAGACAAGGATGTTCTTGGGGGCGCACCCCCGTGACCCCCCGCATTCGGCCACCACTGGAGAGCAAAGTTAAATGTGATTTTTATGAGCTATGAGAAAAGTTGGGAACGGGGAAGGCCGAGGCCAATGCCGATGCCGTTGCCACTCCGCCGCAATATTTATTGTTGCTCCTTGGCCTGGTCACACTAATGAGCTGTAAATTCTCGAAAGAGGCCGACCCAGCTCCAGCCCCAGCTCCGGCAATTCAGGCATTCATTAAAGTTTAGTGCGAACAATTGAGGGGAATTCTTGGGAGGCAGAAGTTCCTCCAGTAAGACGCTAAGGAGATAATACTTTGTAAAAGTTTGGGGGGGAGGGCTTTTAATAGGCTTTTTAACGTCTTGATAACTACATAACTGGGCGTTACAATTTCATCATCGTTGAATAGCTATTTAATGAGATATTAATCTTGTGTCTTAGGCCGCTCTAGACCCGTGTGGATCGTAAGAGCGATCGCTGTTAGAGAGTGCTAACAGAGATCCATAACGGCTAACAGTGGCTGTTGACGGAGAGCAGTAACAGCGAGTGTTAACAGGCTGTTAGCCTGGGCTGTTGCTCTGCTTGAGCAAAACGAATATGTCAAATAATTCCCAGTCGAATAAAAATAAAGTCGCCTTTAATCAAAAAGAATTTCGATGATTTCATAGCTTCCAAATTTTGTGTCTTGCGGATTTTTTCGTGTGAGCTTGACTGTCCACTGCCCCGGCTGCGGATGCGGTCACTGAGACAGCTGGGGCATCCACTATACAATCGTAGATGGCAACTGAAGCAGAAGCTGATCAACTGCCGGAACCACCAAAGCTATGGCCACAGTTAATGGTACAGCCCATCTACCAACTGTGGCCAAATTACGGCTGCCCTGGACTACGACTAGCTGGCGTCACAGGAGTTCCAGTCTCATCGATTGGACTGGACGCGGTTTCTTTGCTCGACATACAACGCACCCCACCCCGCTGATCGCTGATGAAAGACGTCCCAAAGCCTCGTTCGACGCACCAGAAATGCCTCAGCCACGCAGCACGATGATCCAGAGACAGTCACCATTTGAGATGCATCACAGCGGCGTGAGCCACCATTGCATGCTCAATGCCTCATGGGTAGATTGTCTTCTCTGCTGTTGACTCCGTTTCCACTTCCGTTGCGCCTCCCTCTGTTTACTACAACAAGAAAGTCTCGCACGGATGGAAATTTTGAAATAAATTTTGTCTAAGAATATGAATATTAACTCTGGCCTGCAACTCTGTTTCAGTCTGCCAGAGCTGTCACCTGCCACTGTCTGAGAGTGTACTAGGTCTCAATGTTTGTATTTTGCAATTTCCATTATTTATTTCCATAGACAGCTGACATTTAGAGTGGAATAAATTTCACATAACTGGGTGTAAATCATTTCTGCAAATGTTTATTAAAAATTTTGGAGAAGTATGAAAAAAGATGGAGATACAGAGAGAGGGAGAGAGGGATAAAGTCACTTGGCGGTTTAGGCAAGGACTCAACATGTGCATAATCCTCTTGTCCCCTGGAGGACTCCGGACTACGGACTACGGACCCCCTGCAACTAGAACATGCGAATGCCTAGAGGGGAGATCTAGCCCCAATCCATCTACACATTGCCGAAATCCCAACCACCTGACCCAGCTTATCGCTTGCCTCAGAAGAAGCTGCAAAGTGCGCTTGAGTGTAGGAAAATTCAGAGAGGGAAAGAACACGCCGCAGCATATTAAAAGGAGACCCCCAACAGAGCCCGAACGGACGGACGGACGGACGGACGCCCACTTAAAGTGCTCACTGTAGTAGTAGTAGTAGCTGTCCCCCTTGTTGTTGCTGTTGTTACCGTGGTTGGTGTCTGCCTGCCCCTGCAGGTGCTGGCGGCGGCGGCTGCCTTAGACACTTTTTCACCTGGTTTCTTTTCGCCTTCTTTTTGACTGCACAAAAGGTAGCAAACGAGCAGTTAAAACGCTCGTCTGCCTCCTCCCCTCTCTACCCACCACTTTCTGCCCAAAAAGAAACTGCTTAGTCATGGGAAAATGCCGAAAATATACTTGAACCATGCGGCTATTCAACATTCAGCATTGGGCGTTCGCCCATTTCCCCCCATTTCCTCCAGTTTCTCTTTTAGCTTTTAGTTTTTGGGCTTATGGCAAGTCCTGCTGCGGGTTCCCCCAGTATTGTGCTATCGTCTCTTTCTACCTTTGTTCCACCTCTGCTCCCCCCCACACTCTTATTATTCTCATCTTCGCCTCTGCTTCTCCCTCTCTTGCTCTACTTCTTGTTCTGCCTCTGTTCCCTTCATCGTTGCGTGCTAAGTCTGGCCGAAATAAATTGCCAAATCATACGAACATACACTCAGGACATCCATGTGTGAGGGCATCTACTCGTACCTCTCCTTCACCCATTCTCCCCGGCTCTTTTGTTCTGCCAAGCTCTTCATGGGGGGTGTCGGTGTCCCATTAGATTTATGCCACAAAATAAAATTTAAGTGCGACAATATGGCGTTGACTTAAAAAATGTTCACATTATATATAAACAATTATCAGAACATAACCCGAAGGACACAGGTGGGCACAGGAGATGGGAAGGGTTGGGCAGGACTTTGGAGCTGTTTTTGGAAAAGGTTTTGTGGCAATAAATATCAAGCAGAGATAACATTGCAATCCATTAATTAACTTTAAGGGTAAGTAAAGGTATTTTTAGCAGGAAATTGAAATGCGATAAATGGAGTATTCCCTTGGTTGCTGTGGCGGGAAAGTGGGGTTTATTTTCGAAATCGGAGACTGAAGACTGAATCTGTGGTGAAATTCGAATTCCATTCTTTTCGGATTGGTTAAGAATGCAAGCATAAATAATTACTTTGAATTCTTCGAGCTAAATTTCGATCCAACAGAAATTTTTCGAAAATTTATTACTCAAAGCCTCAACGTTGTACCGCAAATAAATGTACCTAATTTCATTCCGTTTTCTTGTTTTTCCCGTCATTTAATTTCGGCTTATGACAATTTACATTGGCCAACTGCGGCAGCCCGAATAAATTTGCCATGGGAACAGAGTGAACAGAGAGAAATCATATTTTCAATCTCTCTAAATGTGTTTATCAAAAATGCATTTCTCCAAGTTGGATTTTTAGATTGCTTCCTTTATGCGTTCCGCCTCCCTGGTTGCATGTTGCACCCAAATTGAGTTTGTTCCATGGGACAGAGAGAGGGAACGAAAGCAAAGCAAAGTAAACTTTACTTTATAAATTACAAATAAGCAAACGGAAAATCCAATCCAGAAAAGAGCAACCTTAACCGGACTGAACTGCTTCTTGGAATTGGAACCGGACCAGGACCCGGACCCGGTTAGACCCGGAGGTGACCAACCAGGACCAGAAAGGACAGGCCACCACAAAACCCTCCAATGGCTTCTAAGCAAAATTAATTTTTTGAAAACCATTAAAAATTAATTTTGTTTTATGGCGCACACACACACACACACACAGAAGCAACAGAAAATGTTATGAGAGAGAAGATTTCCCTGCCTTCTGTTTTTTTTGTTCCTTGGTTTTGGCATGAAAGAATATTTATAATGCATACAGAAAACACTCGGCCCAAAGAGGCTGACGCTGAGGCAGAGGCCGAGGAATATACAGAAAAGTGGGCGTAAGGGGGGCCCAGGCCTGCTCCTGGATCTGGATCTGGTCCTGGTTTTGGTCCCACTTGACTTGGTTTTTATTTCTGCACATGCATGGATAATAGTGTGTCGGCTGTCGGATATGCAGCAGCAGGGAAGTGAATGACAATGGCCAGGGGAGAGGAGACCTACGAGCGGAATGTGTCCAATGATTTTTAGAAATGAGAAACACGTGTGGAAGACACATTCAAATATTTATTAAAGTTATTTGGATTTTGTAGAATAAATGTGTTGGAAGAAATACAAAAGCAAAGTGCAGCTGTGATGGTGGCTTTGGTTTTTGGAATTTACAAAGATTTACTTTACTTTGTATTTAAACAATTTATTTATTCAAGCGAAGTGGCTGATGGAATACAATCAATTGGAGATATTTCTTTCAATAATTCTTTTTGTTGGGACTTGATTGATTATTTTTTCGTGTCATTCACGGAAGAGAGAATCTATAAGTTTGAAAGGGTACTTTAGTCTTCGGCCAATTTAAGACAAACTTTTCTCCTGGCCTTCTAATATTTATTTTTGTTATGTACACGGAATATGCCCCAAAGGCTGCGCTTGGGTGGAGGTGGGTTCTAAGCCAGATGGCCCCCCCCACTCATCCAGAAATGGTACAACACTCACACACCTACAGCCACACCCACAGAGACGCAACCACACACCCGTTCACGCACAGATGTACACAGAAGAAGAGAAGACAGACAGACAGACAGACACACACATGGCCAAATAAACTTTGAATAAGCATTTCGTGGGACCAAACGAAAGTTTCATTCTCTCTGCAGCTTCCAGGCTTCTTTCTCACTGGCTGCCTGCCACAAATCTGCACATAAATCTTGAGAATGCCGGCCAGCCCACACTCCCATCTTTCCTTGTGGGGCAGTGGGGCACATAAGCGACGCTGCATATAAAATAACACAACAAGAAAGCAGTGGGGCAGGGGAAAGCCTAGATGGCCGTGCCCAGGAGTCTCTGGCCAAATAAAACGTGGCACGAAATGGCCAGCTAGCTCAGGTCTAGGAAAACATTCAATTTCCCCGGCTCATTAAAATTAAATAACTAAGCTCAGACGAGACTGCCAATGAGGAGCTGCAGGGGAATGGGAAGTGGTGCATGGGGCATGCTTGCCGCAGGCTGTAGGTGATAGTGAGGCGAAGGTAGTTTCAGGGTAAATTGAATTGAAGTGCAGCCCTAAGAAAACAATCATTAAAGTGGGGGAACTATAAATGTCTGGCCTTTAAAAGGATTGGTGTATTTATAAATTATGTATGGCGGGGTATTTATCGATAGTAAACGAAGATTGGTAATCGATCACAACATTAGGAAAACCAATGAGTAATCGATTAATAAAGTCGTCAGAGCCTTTGGCCATCCAAAAATACATAGGTGAAGTAATAACTTAAAGGGGAAAGAGTCTCAAGAGACATTAAAATACATAATATTTAAGAAAAGTAATTCCAAAACTTCCCATTTATTTTTCAGTGACACCCAACCATGGCCCAAAGATAACTGGCGGACAGCCGCGATACCAGATTGGGGACACTGTCCGCGTCAACTGCACCTCGTCGCCGTCCAAGCCGGTGTGCCACCTGAGCTGGTTGATCAATGGGGAGCCGGTGCAGAAGGCCCATTTGAGGCAGTACGACAAAATAGTGGTCAATCGGGATGGACTGGAGATGGCCCGCCTTGGCCTGGAGTTTCGAGTGCGACCCTTCCACTTTAAGCACGGAGATATGAAGCTGAAGGTGAGTACCTTACCAAAAAGATGACTTCCCAAATGACTTCCAATGTGTATCGTTGCAGTGCGTGGCCAAGATCAGCTCGTTGTACTTGCAGAGCAACGAGGAGAGTGTGGAAAGCGATCGCCAGCAGCGAGCACCGGCCCTGGAATCCCGCGAAACGGTGGCAGCCAAATCCAGCACTATTGGTATATTCCCCACTCAAAGTTTGAATCACTACCCACCCCATGAACACTGCTAACTGAATTTGTGTGTTTCAGGTGCTGCCGGGTCAAGACTACCCTCCCATCTCGTGTCGTTGCTGCCTCCAGTCCTGCTGCTTCTGCTGCTCCGGACCGGGCCCTGGTCGCGGGCGAGTTAACTATCTTCGGCCTAAGCTGAGACTCTGGACAGAAATCCGCGAAGATATACACACCTATCAACTAGCAAAGCAGCTGAGTCCTAGTCAATGTGGAAAAGCAAAACATATCCTATGCCAAAATCTCAAAGAAAACGATAAATATGAAAAGATAAACTAAATCCTAGCCGCCGCGGCGGTTAAATTCGAAATTCAATTGATGTGCGTGTGTATGTGTGTGTGTGTGAATGGAAATGGAAATGCAAAGAAAATTCGCAGAGCTAGAGCAAGATATAATATTGAATGGAATATCGAAACGGAAGCGAAACGAAAGGAAAGGAAGGGAAAACTACTCAAATCGAGCATTTAAGCAGAGGCTAAGAAACTGTATATAATTATGCATAATTTAAGGCAATTATCGTTGTAAGGAAAATCGTTGTTTAGGCAAAACTTGAGACAAGATAAGAAGAAATACATTCGTTAATCTTTTGTGATATTTTCTTGATTTTTAAACGAAGGGAAATAAAATATTATATAGACAACTTTTTAATTTGATTATTTTTCCATTCCATTCCTCTCCTTCCTTTGTATTTTATCAACCTTTTTCGGGCATATCAAAAGCGACTAACATTTCAATTGTAAAAAATATGCATCGTTTGCACATCGATCTACCTATGAAATCACATCTAAAACTTACCCAAAAGAAACTTTGCATTTACTTATAAGAGCAACTAGCCTAAGTCCCTAAGCAAATGTAAGAAAACTGTAAAGCAAAAAATCGAAACTAATTTTAATTAAATAAAATATCAAAATACATCAAATGAATCCAAATATACAATTTGCATTCCGTAAATTCTTTAAAGAAAAGCAAAATATACATATAGTTAAATTTGATCAGAAAGCTGTAAATAGACAGAGCCGTGAAAGTGGAAGCCATGGATTGTTGAAAACTTTCGAATTTGGCAAATGTTTCGATGAATAAATAGATCTGAATGTACTACGAATAATGGATGTATCCCTGAGTGTAATTGGATCAATCAGTGCCAGGCTGCCAGATCCCATTTGAATGGAATGGCCTTTTAAAATTAAACTTTGCCCAAAGCAATGAGACTAATCACTGCCGAATAACAAAGAAAGCTGGGAAGACTCCCCTGTAGCCTTTGGCCTTGCAATTGAAATGGGCAATAGTCTTTCCCCTTGAAACAATTTTTAAATCTTCCATATTCCAGTAAAATGTTTTATTGAATATTGAAACAAAAGTAGACAATGGTTTTTCTGTACGAAAAAGTCTTTTGGAGCATGAGCCTCTTTAGATTCTAAAGATTAGATTAGCTGAATATTCACTTAGAATAAATATGTAAAAAAAAAATTGAATTTCAAAAGGATTGTACCCAAATCTCTTGGGGTATGTTTGGCAATCTAACAGGTGCAATTGTTTTATATATTCTACTGTTTGGAAAGTATAAGTCTCCATTGACAAGATCTTTAAGAGCTTTCAGCTCTACAATTTGTCTTCTAAGTAAGGTTGAAAAAGTAATACCAAGCATCCAATATTTTGTTCTATTAAAAAAAGTTCAACGACTTCTGTAATTTTTTTTTTTTTTTTTCTTTTACACGTTGAGTCACTTCTCTGAAAATGTTGGCATAAATTTATCCCTTGAGAAATTAGCCACATGCATGATACTAATCCTTTGGCTTATGCTAATTTATCTTGAGCTGAGTCAGAGGCCCCTGGGGTCGGTCCTCTCGAGCAGTTGATGCCCAAAAAGTGGTGAAAATTGACACAGACATGCATGAGGCGAAAATGCGCAACAAACCGCATTAAATGCATTCAAGTCCAAACAAACTAAACAGCCAACAAACAAAAGGCAGAAAGCAGTTCGTGACTCATGCGAGAGAGGAGGGTGTACTGGGGCACGGGCAGGGGAAAGTGCTGGTGAGGGGATTGCATGTTTTGGGCCTGGCGTGTGAGAAATGCAATCCATTCGCCTGGCGCGGCTCATTTGCATACAAAGCCATTTCGTTGGTTCGATTGTGGGCCAAAAGGAACAAATGGCCAACAGCACGAGTATCTCGGGCATTTCTTTGATAGCCAACTGGGCCACTGGCAGCTTGGCATTGATTGACCGGGTAGGGGCAGTACTCCTTCCTATAAATTAGCCAAAATGAATGTTTACTGTATTGTACATAGTCGGGGAGGAGTTTGAACTCAAATGTCATTAAATCTTAAGCAGAAAGAAGCCCTGAACAGCCCTGTAAGCATATTCTCCATTCAAATCTAAGAAAATCTTGTGCGTGTTGTAAATTAAAAACAAAATGGGACAACTTCAAATGAATAAACCCAAAGAAAAAAACCAAAACCAAACCCAAATTGAATTCAAACAAGAGAAAAGTGAGAAACAAAATGGAACTCTCTTGTTGGATTGGTTTATAGCTAAGCAAAATATCGTAAACTTAACCTTCCATCATTCTCCATTATCTTTCACCATTGAATTTGGTTCACATTTATTTTCCCATTTTTTTGTGATTAAGAATGAATCAAATGTTCAATACGGAAATTTAGTTTGTAAAACTGAAAATGAAAATGATAAATAAAATAAGTGAAAACAGGAAAAGCAAACAATGATTTTGTCTTTCAATTAAACAGGAAACGCATTTCCTTTTCCGCTTAGCATTGGCCCGGCCCCCGTCTCTGCAAAATCATTTGCATTGGGAAACTTCGTCAGAAGCTCCTCGCTTCCTGTTCTTTTGTCCTTTGTCCTGACATGCCCTTTGGCATCTATCGTCAGAGAGCTTGGCTAAAAATCGAAATTAAATCTCTCAACGAGCAATCAAATGCATAAATAAATTGTCATAGAAGCCTGGGAGCGAAGTTGTTCCTTTTGGCTGAAATAAGATGGGGAATCAAAGTTTAGGGGCCAATTAAATTTCATAATACAGGAAGAGCTTATTGTCGAGACAATAAATATTATAATTTACTTTTTATTAGAATTTATTAATTTTCTTTTCACATTTTATGATGTCCCTTTTTTTGTTTATAAGCTAAATTGAGCTAAATTGTTATTGATTTTATTTAATCGTAGTTAACTTTGCTTATGAACCTACTCGAATGTTTCTGAAATTTACATTCAGTACATTCCTATTTTCGTTCAAGTTTCAGTTTTTGTGTTTTATTTAACGCCAGCAAAAATGAAGCACGATCAAATTATATTCACGGACCAGCTGCTGCATCATCGATGCGTGGCCAGCCGAGCAGAGGAGACTCGCAAAAGCTGGGAGGCAAATGAATCCTGGTATCCGGAGACCCAGCGGGCACTCTACTCCCGCTACGGCCAGATCTACAAGGAGTGCCTCGAGCAGTACGGCAACGACAGCTTTGAGTACTACGCGAAGCGGATTCGCTTGCGGCAGGAATACCAGGCCCAAACGACATCCGCTGCTGAGGAGAGGGAGAGGAGTTCTGATATTTCGATGGATCACTTGAAAGGTTACATGGTGTCCAAGACCACAAATGGGGAGTACGGATTGGTTAAGCCATCGCGTATCTTTTTCTGCTTCAAATAGTAACAGTTTAACAGTATACTCGGTCTTTTGTCTAATCTATTTACTGCTTCTGAATGAGAAGGTGTTAATAGATTTATTAAAGCCCCGATCAACATTTTTTGTAAAGACAAATTGTAGGACAAATAACTGAAAGAAAATAATCAACACTATGATAATATATTTCGAACTGCAAACGAACTATTGGATTTTGGGCGAAGGAGTATCAACTAAATGATTGGCATCCAATCAGGAGGTATTCAACCACCGCTACGCTCTTCCAGCGCTCTCAGAGGGTCATAACAGCGAGAGGTAACAGACAGCTGTTACATCGATCGGTAACAGACAGTTAACATGGGTGTTACATCATTTGAGCGGTTGAGCAGTGAACACTGAAAAGTGTCCTTAAAATATTTTAACTGTACCAAATGCTTAATCTGCCATCTCTATGCACGGCCACACTTTTGTAGGAGGGCAAATCATTTATAAACCAATGTCTGCAGGCATCCCTAGCCCCTTCCCAAAATCAACCCATTATCAACACTTGTGCGCATTATGCAAAAATGTACTGCGGAAACATTTAGGCATGGAATGGCTTATTGGAGAGGACACTAAAATCTGCAGTAGAGCAGGGGAAATTCCTCTGAATGGCAAGCAGGAGAGGGGTTGTAAGGTTTTGTAATATGTTTTAAATGAATTTGATGTGTACGAGTATGTCCTGGGGGCCGCACTCCCAGGGCAACACTTTAGCGAAACGGGAAAGCACTTGGCTCGTAAATTGGTAATGTTCGTAAGCCCGGTTTTATGGCCCCGTTTTGGCTGTGGCCCGGTCTGTTTACCATAATTACCTGTTTATAATTAATTAAAATGCAATAAGCGTAAATTTGATAACAGTGCCACGCACATGCTTACTTTGCAGCGTTCCTTTCGGCCCTCCGCCACCACCACCACCCACTGGCGAGCGTGTCAGCAGTTTTTTAGCCAGAACTGTGTTCGCTTTATGGCCGCTAAATGAAATTAAATTGATAAACTAAATTACAATCGAATAGATAAAGCGTAATAATGCGCTACCGGAATGAATCCATAAATTATGCAATTTGCGAGTGCCTGCACCTAGTAAACCCTTTTTCTCTCCCGCCAAATTCGAAAAGTCGACAATCCCTCGGTAACCGCGTAAAATTGCAGCATAAACGCATTGGTTAATGCAACAACAACGGGCGCAGCAGAAACCCCCAGGAGTCTGTTGTTTTAATACCCTAGCATTGAGTGCTATAATTATATTAGTCAGATGCAAAGAATACACATATTTTCCGACACCATAAACTCCATAAATGGTCGTACCAAAGACAATATAAATAGTAAGATGATTAAGTTACATACATTTTTTTGGCACACGATTTTTTCAGGGCGCCTTTTGACTATTTTTTCTCTGAAAATGACCGTTTACATGTCTTAGTATTTAAATTTTCTTTGGTACAACGTAGTTACATATTTTAATAAATATATCTTTGATCCTTTGCAAGGTAAGTAAGGTACGTTCTTATTTCTTATGTCTGTAGATCATAACTAAATAATTCGGAATGCTAAAGATCGATCCTCTTTATTTATACTCAAATTAGTTGAGAAAATATAAACGCCTCAAATAAAGAGTTAAACTTTTACTAGTCATCGAAGTGCTTTGCTGGAAGTTGGCTTTCATGCGTTTATTTCTCCTTCTGTCACTCTCCCACTCTCCCTCGTTGTCCCGCGCTTACTGACCGTGAATAACTAACGGAAGTGCATTGCGAACCGTGGTCACGCTGTTCGCTCTCGATAGGAACACCCCATCTCATTCGATGATTCATTGTGGATGCATGTCTGTGTCTGTCTCTGTCTGTTCGTGTGTGGAAAGTTCCTTCGTGTGGACTTTAATTGCGGCGACATTTTGATTTATGACGACAAAAGCGAAAGCTGAATGACGCATCCACCCATTAGAGAGGGAAGGAGAAGGTGTTTGCCTTGAGGTGATACATTTCAGTAATGGATTTACCAAAATTGATTACTAATTGGCAAACGCAATTGAATTTAAATTTATTTCAGCGAAGAGGTGTTAAATATTGCCAAAGCACAAGTCCCTGGATGTGTTGTACGGAAAGTTCTGCTGGAAACTTTGTTACTGGAGGTGTTCAATTATGCTTTTAGGAAGTTCACCGTCTACACGTTATTATCTTCTCACTGAAGTTTGTAAGCCTGGAAGCATATCAATTAATTTCTGAATGTCCCACTTAAATTATACGAAAGACGAGCCCTAAACGATGCCAAGATATGGCAGCATAAAATATTAAATCGAAGAGTTAATTCCCTTGATTAATTCCCGTTACATGCCCTTGACTAAAAATATAACTCTGGACTAGAGAGAAACGAGGGGAAACGTTGTGAGTCGCTGCAGTGGCCGCGACTCTACTTTTCTACCCGAACTCAGGACAGACAAAGCTATATCAACTCGGCTATTGATGCTGATCAAGAATATATATACTTTATGGGGTCCGGAGCCTTTTCCTTCTGTGCGTTACACACATCCACTTCTACCACAAACCTAATGTACCCCTTAAATCTTCGGGTACGGGTATAAAAAAGGTTGAATATAGAATGTTTGAGTTCACAAAATTTGTCCTCTACACAATAATCTGCGAATCACACTGAATGTCAGCACCACATGACCCCTGCGAAGCTTTCTTTATTAATCTTGATACTTATCCCAACTTCCTATCTAATCGAAAATCTTCTCGTGGATCAGCACATTAGGCTCATTACAATCAGGATATTGATTATTGCTTTTTCGTTTGTTGCTTGGAGCAGCATAGAGTTCACTTTCAGTTTGCCAAAATGGTTGATTGGGATAGTCTCGTCCTGAAGAGTATGTATTACTATGGCCATTTAATAGGCCTTAGTAACTTTGAGTTCGATTGGAAAACGGGTCGCGCGTACTGCACCAAACGTCAGTCACCTGGACACTGGAATGTTATTTGGACAGTTTCTAATCTACTCTATGACAGCAGTTCTCAATTTTGCCGTTAGCCAGCACTACCTCGTTATGCTCTTCCTCCGGGCCCGGTACCAGCTGCTCAATCGTGAGCTCCGTCAAGTGATTGACGAGTCGATGGGACTCAGCCACAGACCGCCGCGAAGAGGAGTCTTCATCTGCAAGTGCTGTTGCCTGGCCGACAGGGTAGAGGCGATAGCAAGTCTCCAAGGGAAATTGCAGTCGATGGTCGTTAAACTTGGGCAGCTGTACGCCATTCAGGGTATGTTGGTCTTCTCGGGATATTACCTCTCCTCGGTGGGCACCGGCTACCTCGCGTACACCATGGTCAAGCATGGAATCGATGATCTTGGCATAACCGTCAGAGGACTAGTTCTGATTCTTTTTTGGTGCCTTTTCTACTACATGGATACCTTCCTCAATCTGTTTGTCATGCTGTATGTGCTGGAGGAGCACAAGGAGACGGTGCACTTGATGGAGAAGCGAACCCTATTCGCCTCGGGACTGGATGTACGCCTGGAAGAAGCTGTAGGTACATACAATGGGCTAGGTCTGGCTCTAATAATTCTGTTGGTTAATTCCTCTCCAGTTCGAGAGCCTGCAGTTGCAGCTAGTACGGAACCCACTGCAGCTAACTGTCATGAATGTGTTTCCCATCAGCCGCAGCTCTACCACTGCCATGGTCAGCTCCATACTGACCAACTGTATATTTCTTATTCAATATGATATGGAGTACTTTTAATGGAATTCGGTCGTTAAATAAACTGCCCCTTTCCCACACTCGAATTGAGGGTAATTTCAAGTGAATGGGGGACTTATTTTTGTGCCCAACCACTTCAATTAATCCCACCAACCCTTCGAGAGTAATTCCGTTGGGCCCGACAGTCTGCTGCAGTTAGTCCATCAGAGAATGCCAGGAGAGGGACACTGGGGCAGAAGCGCCAAATGGCAGACACGGCTGCTTCGATGGACTGTGCTGGGCATCGGCTGGACCCTGTATCTCTTCTGTCGCGGCTGTGTGATTGGACAGATGAAATACGATCCCGCACGGGGGCAGATGATCATTCGGGCGCGCGGACTCTTAGCCAAACGCATTGCACTGCTCATTAAGCTGGCTGTACTCTTGTCAGACTACTTTGGCGCTTTCTATATATTGGGGGCCATTTTACCACTTCTGCCGGAGATCGACGATCACAAGCGGAACGGCAGGCGGATATTCGAGAGCCTGGTGACTTTGGTGGGCATGGTGCTGGCCTACTGGAACATCGGGCTTCTGCTCTACTGGCTGAGCAGCCTCCGCTACAATCGATCCATTGTCCGGGTGGTCAATGAGGTCATCCGGCTGCACGCCCTCATTGACCGCTGCTTCGGGCCACTCCTCGTGGCTGAGCTGCACATTCTGGTCGTGTTCGTGGCCGAGCTGCACATGACTGTCCTGCACCTCTTCAACTGCCTTCGTATCGAAATGTTTCTGTTCCTGTACAATATCGTTCTGCTGGAGGTCTTCTTCTGTGCCTACATGGCCTACCAGATGCTCCTGCTCTCCTGGCTCTCCAGCTTCAGTCTCTTCCTGCATCGCTATCGACTGCAGGGAACATCCGCTCGCGGGCAGCGCACCAAGCTCCTGCGCCTGTTCCGCCTGTACGCGCGGGTAAGCAATGGACACCAGGCGATTATGCAACTGTGGCTTCCGGTGGCCAGTATGCTCTTTTCCAGCATCGTTATTATGGTCGTCGATTGTGCCACCATCGTCAACTGCATTCTGTTCAAGCACAACCTGGACATGAGGCAGAAATGGGATGAGATCTTCAGTCATCTGGGTGCCTGTCTCTCTCCACTGCTGCGAATGCTTCTCCTGGGCCTGTGCAACGACTCTCTGACTCGGCTGGAGAACCTGCTGAGTCTCCAGCTGCTGGGCACCGATTTGGGACATCACCAACTCGAAGGCGACTACAGGAAGGACTCTGAGCAGGAAGGCTTTGTCAGGCATTTGAGGAATCTGGTAATGCTTTTTTTGGACTTAAAAATCTATTCACTTTTAACACATTCATTCATTATTGGTCCCAGCAAATCTGTTTCGATCTGCAGACGCGTGCCCAGCCCATTAGAAACCACATCATGAGCGTGAATCAGATATGCGGCTGTCCTTTCTTCCTGGATTTCTTCTTTTGTACCCTAATCAACTCCTTCAGCTGTGTGCAGTATGTCTTGAGTTTGGGCCCACAGTCGGAGAACTTCCAGGGTTTCTTTTCGTCGTAAATTGAGAATTTTCGAGGAATTGTTTTCTTTTGTCGAAAATTGAATTATTTATTTAATTATAAATATGAAGGTTAGCCAACGAAAAATTTATGGAGCACTAGCTGCCAGGGCTTTCGGCTCTTTGCCCGAAAATGTAATTAAAATAAATAAATAAATAAAGGTTGAATTGCAGAACTCCAGGCTTAAAAATATTTTTAAATAAAACTCAACAAAAATCAGCTTCAATTCCTAAATCAATAAGTTCCAGAACAATTACAGAGTTAAAGAACAGTATCTGATATCAGTAGAAATTAAAATTGTGTATAAAATGTTATTTTAATTCGCCTCAAATTGCATTTGAGCAGAACGAAGTAAATTTAAATTGAAATTGATTTGTTTGGTTTGGTTTTTCGAATCGACTTTAATAAAATTATTAAATGACACAACGAAGAAAATTACAAATAAAATGGATTTAATTTGCTCGCCATTTAATGTGGGATGCCAGAGAAAGTTTCGCATTTTGCAGGTCCTTTTTTTCCAATTTTGTTTGTTTTCGGGGTCCAGGCAGTGCGTTTGAGTTTGAGCACCGGCCAGCGCACATAAATTTCAATTAACATAAATTTAATGCCAGGCAAACAAAGTTGGCCAACAAACTCGACGACCACACATACACATCCAGCATTCGGCTTGGGCTTGGGCTTGGCAGCATTTTCATTTTCAATTATTGTCTGCTGCAGAAAAGTTTTTCTTTTTGCCCACTCCGACTGCACTTTTCCGCCCAACCTAATGCACTTGACTCTGAATTGGCAGGGTGGCGGGCGCCCCGGGGTCTGGACTGTACTGGCAGGGATGCGACTTTAAGCCGCATATAGCAAATGGTCGGAGGCAAAGTAAATTGCTGAAAGGCGCTTATGCAAAGCGATCAAAATGCGAGGCGACACTCACTACTGCGAACAGAATAGAAAAGAACGGAATGGGAGCTGGAAAGGGAACTGGAACGGAAACAGAAATGGGAGAAGGAGTCGAACAGACACGGACAAATCCCAACCCGAAGGCCATAAAACCAATTTGAAATTGTTATTTTAAGCGAAAGTAAATCGCCAAGAAAGGGTTGACGTTGCCTCTGCACGGGGAAAGGGGAAAAGTAGCCGAGAGTCGTAAAAAATCAAATATCGGTTGAGTTTGCTGCTGCCTCAAATCGGAATCAGCCATTTGTGGCAAGATAAGGATAAGGGGTCGAAAATCTTTCTTGCCCCCATCCACATTGTTTGGATATATGAAAATTGCCACAACACATTCCGAATGCCACTCCCCCCTGCTTTTTGCGAAATGCCATAAAATGTCCAGGTAACGAAATGTATTTTCTGATGAAATCAGCAAAAGCCGAGGATGCCTTAGTCCGAGCTGAAAATCTTTAGGAGCTAATAAAATTGGCCAACATAATGGAAAGGGGAGCAACGAACGGGGTGCACGAGTCTCGATAAAATGTAAATCGGCTGAAAGATTCAACACGAACAGATTTAGATTTAGGACAGTCCCAACTCTCAGACTGTTGAATGGGATGGTACAAATCTGTGCTGATATTGGATAGATAGTTGAAGGAAATAGCACAAAAATCTTTAACTAATTTCCATAAATTCACTGCAATTGGGATAATGAGTGGATGTCTTGGCACTGTCACGAATTGAACTTCGAGCCGTCAGCTGCTATGCAGCTGTGCTGACATTTCCACCAACACGTAGCTGCAATGACATGAAATCATTTTCGTTTACCATTTCCACGCTCAAAATGCCTTTTATTTAGGCAGGATCCGTGGTCCTTCTATGGCCTGGGCTGTGGTGCTTGCGTGCCAGTAATTCTACAAATGTTGTCCAGAATCTATATAATTTACGGCTGCCGGCAGTGCCGAATGATGTGCTAGAAATGGCAGGCACACCAGACAGCACAGAGCCAAAAAGAATCCAAAACAGAGACTGGCCGACTGGCTGGCTGGCTGGCAGGCAGGCAGCAATTTTTTATTTATTTTTATGAGTAATTCTGTTACTTGCCACGCATTTTTATTGCACTACGAGAATTATGATTGTGGCCATTGGACTGCCGGCTCCTTCTATGTTTATTTATGCTTTGTCCTCTGGTTTCCTTCCATCTACAGCAGACCCTCGGAACGGGTGGGGACTACAGGACAAATCCTCGTTTGGGCGGAAGCTTAAATGGGGCGTTGTTAATGGGTGTTTAGGGGGAAATTCTTCAAAGATAAACATCTGTGGAAAAACAGACGAAACGATTAAATGAAAATTTAAATCTCTTCTTCGACTCATCAAAATAAATATCAAAATTTGTAGCAGAATTTTGATATTTGATTGCATTACATTTGGGCTCCAATGCATCGAACAATCCGCCCCTGAAGATGCGTAAAAAAGCAAAAGAAGCAACCAAAATAAACAAAAGGCAATGCAATTACGTGACAGTGGCAAGGACAATGCCCGATGCCAACTCATCCAACAAAGGCAGCAATGGAATAGAATGGAAGGAGCAGTGGCAGTGGCAGTGCCAGTGCCAACAGCAGTGTGGCAGCTCCGTCAGTTGAAGTGGCACGTAATCTAGCAATGGGGCGTGGCCAATGGACAGTGGCAGACACTTTTATTGCAAATCATTTCAAATGCTGCAAATGATAACAACAAAACAAAACGGGAGGGAACGGAACGGAGCGGAGCGGAACGGGGACGAGAGCAAATGGCGTCGTGCAAGCAGACATGACATTCTGTGAATGGATGCCCCATGCCGCCATGCCCCCATGCCACATGCCACATCTCATCGTACTGTTGCGTTGCCTTTTCGCCACTGTCTGTTGTCTGCTGTCTGCTGCATGGAAATCGATTCAAGGTGCAATCATGTCTGTCAGTCTGTCTGTTTGTGATAATTCAAGCGAATCAGGTAATGGATAAACAATGTGGACAGCTATGGAAAAGATTGCAGATGGTGTGCAGCAGAATGAGAAAAGGTGAATGTCAAGCAAAGAATATTCACTTCCACAGATGAGCATAGCTGGAATTTCGATGGATTCTAAGTGAATTAAAAGGGAATGGAATTCAATCCTGGAAAAAATAGCTGCTATCATCGGAGACTCTACATCGGGGACCTACTCCTACTTGGGTGCAGTACAATAAATAAACCTGTAGGTAAACCTTAAAAATTCACAACTGATATACCCCCTTTTACTGATCTGAAGTTCGGCTCCTAAAAACAAAAACGAAAAACAATCCTTAATAGCTCACAGAATGCACACTCATTCCAATTGAACGAGCTCAATTAAACTTTTGGGCATATCGCCATCAGTTTTAAACAGCTTACCCTCCCCCGCCCCTACAACCCACTTGAGCAACTTTCCGCCCCTAGATTTGGATGAACAGTTTAACTTATCATTTGGCAGGGAAGTGCCAGCACAGAACAGAGCAGAGGGCAGAGGGCAGAGAGAGTGGGTCCGGATGAGGATGAGGCAATCAAAAAGTTTACCTGTGCCGCAAATTGATGCCTTCTTATCTGTGCGAAATCAAACATGAAACTTTTAAGCCTCACACAATTGAGCTTAATATGCTGAAGGTATATCCCAGATACAGATGCCACATGAAGGTGGGTGACTGTCAACACATTTTCCTGGAAAACCCATACACACAGCTTAAGTGGAACGCGAATTATGGCTGCCGAAAAGCAGAGACTTAGCCCCCAACTTGCACTGAGAGCTGCCTCTATTAGTTCTGCCTCAAATGAATGCGAAAAAATCCCTGGCAAATCTGGCTGTTGTTTTCATTAGAAGACAAATCTGATTTATGTGACATTTGATAGCTGCCCGACCAGGAAGACTGTTCCCCGCCCTGTCACAGGTGGGAGGACTCGTCTTGGGCTGCTCATTTGTGGCCATTTGTTGGCTGGCAAATAAATCTGTAGACTCATCTCTGGTCATCCCTCGGTGTGTCCTTTTATCCCTGGCACTTATAATTTGTTTGGCTTTGTCCTCGGTATTTATCAAATGTTCTTATTTCGTTGGCAGCTTATTAGTGAAGTCCAGCGCCCAGTCCTCTGTCCCTCCTTGTGCTATCCGCAGCTAAGGTGCCGACTTAGGGATAAGTCTGCAGATATTTTGTATTTATTTTTTGTTGCTATTATTTTGTTGGCTTGTGGATTGTTGTGGCATGTGCTTGTACTTTGCCAGAGGATGAGCAGGACTGAAGAAAAAAGTGGCACTGTGGGGATTCTCTATGGGACTAAAGTTTTCTCTGATTGGTACTAGGATCTGTATGAACAGATACATATGAGCTTAAGTCAGCACTGTTTTTCTCTGATATGTAACACTTATGATTTTCCGAGCATATCAATCTCTCAAGTCCTTGTTCTCGATTAAGGATGAGAGGCAGAACCTGAATATTCACACCTCTTTATACTTTCTCCCACATATGCCGGCAGTATCTGTTCTGTGCACTGCTTAAGTTCTTCTTTTGGCATTGCCCTTTTTTTGTTACTGCTTCGTTTTTTTTTACTGCTAAACGTTTTGGCTTCGGTTTGGGTCTCTGCTACCATTTTTGTTGTTGTTGTTGTCGTCGAAGGTTGTTGTCACGTTCGCTTGGAACATTTTCACGTATTTGAAATATTTTCTTTAAATTACCCAATTTTCTTTGTGTTGCATCTAGCTAGAGAATAAAATAAAAAATAAAAATAAACAGAAATACACAGAAAGTATCGTTCTGTAGCTGGTCAGGTCAGGTTATCTTGCTGGCTTTTTCATATAATTGAAGCTGGTTTAATGTCGGAAAAATAGCAATTTCATTCGGAGGAGATTTATGTGGGAGATTTTCAAGTCAGCAACTGAAAATTGTTCGAAAAGACAAACTTAAAGAAGAGTTATAAAAAGGCCTGAATGAAGATATAAAATAATACAATGGATTGAATAATAACAGATTTTGCACATATATTAATTGGGTTATCAAATTTTATTAACTCCTAGAAATTTCAATGGTCAAACAAAAATATATCAGAGCGGAGAAACAATTTTAGAATATTCGAACTTCATCAATTTCTCATTAAATACCACTGCCCGATATGGAATGATATGATCAAGTAAAAGTTTTCATAGAAAATGAGTATAAATACAAAAACTGCAGATTGTAATTTGATTTTGAAACAAGTATGTTTTATTAATGAATTTCCACGATTCACCCTCACAATTCTTTCGTTCTGGCTTGGATCGCTCGGGGCGCACATATTCAATGAGGCTTAGAGATATTTACAGAGTTATAGAGACGTCCGAGGCCGAGGCCGAGTCCGATCCACTCGCTGGCAGCTAAATTCAGTTGAAATTACATTATGGCATTTGATTCGAGTTGAGTTTTGTAAATAATTCGTATCTGTTTATGTTGCAGCAGCGTTCTTAGGTTTGAATTGTTTACTGATTCACATAGATTTTTATCGTATAGATTCGAATGCATTTTTTGGATTTTCGTTAATTCATTTTTTTCTCTTGGCTTTTTTTATATATTTTATACATCTAAAAGTTGTTATTTAAATACACAAATAATTTACACTTACAATTAGCACACACTTATATTTTTTTTTCCTTTTCATTTTAATCTTTATGCCATTTATATAGTTTTTTTTTATAGTACTTTTTTTGCTGTAGTTTTATTTTTTCATTTTTAGTAATTTTTATTTTAATTGCAGTTAATGGCTTCGATATTAAATAAGACTTAAAAAACAGTTACAGTTGACAACAATGCAGATTTATATATCTTAATGTGTGTGAGTGTATATATGTATGTATGTATGTATTTAAATGTAGATCTATGTCCGACTTAAATAGCCATTCACACGCAAACGCTCACACATTCACAATGCACTGCAATTCATTTGAATTCATATTTAAATTTATTGTTAATTTCTCGTTTGCTTACTTTTAAAATTGGCGCTTGGTTTTTGTTGTATTCTCGCTTTTGCTGCCATTGACATCTTAATACTAATTTAGTTAGCTCATAATCATATTTACACACCGAATTGATTGACATCAAAGTGGGAAAACAGTGTGGAATCCTTGGACAAAGTTCGTTTCTATTTACACAACATAAACAAAAAATCATTTGATTTTGTTTTTCGCTCGATTGATTCGATTTTTTATCACATCTGAATGGATTTCAATTGTGTTATCAAGGCTGCACCCCAATCATTTTGCTATTGTTACAATTTGTTAGTTTTGCTTTCTGCTTTCTGCTTTTTGACCTTTTTGCTATTGTTCCTAACATTTGGCTAACTAAATTGTGTACACTCTCTCTGGATGGTGGCGAAATGGAGCTCGGAATGTTATTAGTTTATACAGAGGAGGATCAAACACACTCACACGCTTAAATACACGGGACACGCACACATTCATGGCATTTATAATGGGGGAAAAGGGCAAAAGTGGAAGATGATGGGAAACTCTCTTCCCTCGCTCTCCATTCGGTTAATACCCATTAAGACTTTGGCAATTCATATAAATGTACGATATGTTTTTGTTAAGTTTTAAGACTTTTTCCAACAGTCACCAAGTTATCTAAATTTCTAAATTTGATTAGTTTTTCTTTTCTCTCTTTTTCCATTCATTTATATTCAATTTTGCTTGCTTTTAAAATTAGGTGCTTTTTTGGTTTGATTTTTTGTGTGTTTTATATTTAAAATTTGCCTTGTTATTTAATTACAGTTTTCTATTATTTCATACGTGCTTTAAAAAAAAAACCAAGACTTCAAATTGAAAGTAGAAATATTTGTGTTTTCTCTCAGAATGAATTTCTAGTGGCCTTAAGTACAGTGCGTTGCAAAACTATAGAAAAAGTAGACACACTGTCGAATCGATTGACCAATCGAATAGGTACTAGCAAATAAGCTTCAAATAAGAAGTAAGCTTTTGTGAGCTTTAATCAAAGTCGTAACACAACATCATCCTATAGTTTCGCTACGCACTGTACACCACCAGTCGCTTAATCCAATCTTTGTTTTCGCTTGAAATGCTCCGTAATCAGTTATCGTCACTAAGCTGACATATCCTTACATATATTTTCCTATATATTTATTTATTAAACTCGTAATTTGCCGTGACGAACTTTGGTTGGAGGATTCATCTGCTCTGCTCGTTAATGATGATAATTATCTTAATGATATTTTTATATTTCTGTTGATTTAGTTTATCTACTGTTTTATTTTTTGTTTTTCATTTTTCGACTCTTCCGTGTGTGTGTGTGTGAGTGAGCTTAAAAGGTAATAACATACAATACAATTACATAAATATATATATATTCATATTAAACATTTACTATTTACATTGGGGTTTTACTTCGATTTGGGGGCTTAACATTTTCCGCTGTGGATCGGCTAAAACACATTCGCCTGGCTTTACATACAATTTCGTACAATTATGTTTTAAGTAATTTTAAATTTAAATTTAATTTATGTGCTAGATATTTTCTGTTTCACTTTTTACAAATTAAATTCATGAAAGCTTTTTTGTTAACGGCATAAATAAATAAGCTGCATTAGGTTTTCTCTGTTTCCTTTTTTTGTGTGTTTCCTTTTTTTTTTTTTGATTTTCTCTTTAATGTTGAGTTTTTTCTCAGTTTATTTTATTTTTGTATTTTATGCAAAGCGAAGACGGAAAAATCGGTGAAAAAGGTGTCAGAGGGCGAGGGAACCCCCCTTAATGCAGCTACCGTGCAGTCACCATCATTCCCCGCTGCTGCTGCTGCTGCTGCTGCTGCTGCGTCGTCGAGCTTTGGCTCGCGTTCCTCTCCAACTCCGCCAGCAACTCACTCAACAAAAGCTCCGCCTCTCCTCCGTCCATTTCAGCAGTTACTCTCACACTCTTATTCAAGTTTTTATCATTCTCTTGCTCCTTCTCATCGTCTTGATGATCTTTATTTTTCGACTGGCTTGGCCGAGCGACAGAGATGCCACCCCCACCCGCCAGGGCTGTCACCGCGGCCAGGGCCAGCAGGAGCAGGGCACTGGGCGCACGGACCAACAGGAGCGAGTCCGATTTGCTGGCTGCATTTGTTTGAATGAAAAGCGATAAGATTTTGGTAACAAATAATTCCCGGTATGACATACCTTGGACGGGATCGGCGCGTGAGTTGCTGGCGTAGACGGTTTCGCGCGACTCGAGGACGGGCGCCTTCTGCGGGCGATCGCCCTCGACGGACTCCTCGTTGCTGCGCCAATACAATGTCGACAGCGAGGCCACGCACTGCAATAGTCAACGAAAAGTTAAAGTTAGTCACTCTCCAAAGTAGGGTTGGGCGTCCGTTCGGCGGGACTCACCTTCAACTTCATGTCGCCGTTGCGGAAATGCTTCTGCTCCACCCGAAACTGGAGACCCAGAACGGAGGTCTCCAGACCCTCGCGTCCGGACACGATGGTGTCGTATTTGCGCAGCTTCTGCGGTTCGGCGGCCTCTCCGTTGACGAACCACGACAGATCCACGGCCGGCTTGGAGCGTCCGGCCGTGCAGTTGATGCGCACCCAGTCGCCAATCTGGTAGCGGGGCCGCCCACCACTTATCTTCGGTGGGCCCTGGTCCGGCAGAGCTGCAAGGCAAACAACAAGTCAGGCATCAGTTTGGGGGCAAGAGAGATAGAGAGAGACAGAGAGAGGGAGCTGCTAACGAAGTTGGGCAAAGCTAAATTTCATTTACAGCCGCAGACATTTGGCGGGGGCCAGCTACATAGCACGGAGCATGCAGTGTTGTGCGGGTTTTAGAATTTCGTAATAAACCTAAGCCCGGACGACCACCACAACAGCAGCCACCAGAGCAGAGCAGAGCAGAGCAGTGGAGGGGAGTGGAGTGGAGGGTACAACAAAGTCAGCGAAGCGCAGCCGGAAATTCAATAAAAGTTCCAGCCGCTGATGCACTGACGGACGTCTGATAAAATTGCGAACAAAAAAATAAAGCGAATTACAAAAAAAAGGGAATGAAATGTGCCAAGTGGAATTTGCAATACTCTAACTGAAGTCACATTGAATGCTTCAGAAGAAAAGTGCCCCTAACGTCCGTACTGTCCCTACTGGAATGGAGTTTTACAATCAGAGTTGAGCCGAATAATATTCTGAACCAAGTCTCACCATTCGCCATTGAGGTCTTTCGGTAGCTCCTTTGCGAATCCGCATCTCCCATAGCTAGGTTTATCCATTGATATTTGCATAGCTCCATCTGAAACTCCCTTTAAAATCCCACTAGCCCACCGCCTATTGGTAGATTTGAAACTCCTTTCAAAGAACCCCATCATGCAGTTAGTGTACCCATCAGTAAGAATCTATTGGTTCCTGTGGGATCCGCGCTGGATCCAAGCTGGACTCTGCAAACGGAAACGGAAATGGTTTTGCTTTGCTGTTTTTGTTGTTGTTAGCCAAAGGGCTTCGAAAAAAAACCATCTGGGAGCTGTGCGGCATATGCGTTGGTTTCGTTGTTGAAGCTTTTAAAAACTTTGATTGAAAGCCAAACAGAACCAGAGTCCGGGACCACAGTATGAGCAGCAGCAGCAGCAACAAAAAGCCAGAAAAACAGCAAAACAAAAGCACAGCAAAAGCCCCTCCGTTAGAACAAAAGACACATGACGACGAGGGCTAACAATGAAGGAAGACAGCCACAGAGGGGAGCTCTAAAAACCATAGAGAGAGAGAGAGAGAGAGAGAGGAGTCAGAGCAGTTCTCTGGCACGCCCACGCAAAAGTTTTATAATTGAACAAACGAAATGTCAACGCCAGTTCAAAGTGCTCAACGCTCCACGTGTATTAGTTGTATGCTTGGGGGCGGGGTGGCCTCAGCCACTGCCACTGCCACCCTCACACTTTAAAGCTTCCACCAGGATATTTTTGTTTTGTTCTTGCTTTGTTTGCATTTGCCATGGATTGCGTGGCGGCGTCTTCAGCAAATTTTTGGCATTGCCCTGCAGGAAATCTGCTCGAGACGAGACAGAGCTGGACAGACACACGGACCCACGGACCCACGGACAGACAAATTCCAAAATTGAGTTAAACTGTTAAGCTTTGGCAAGTTTTGCCTTGGGGGGGTGGGTTGGCTGGTCGAAGTGGCGAAAGTTCACTAAGCTTGTTTGGCATTAGAAGCTGGGAATCAAATGAAGCCTGTCAAATGCAGCTAAAATGCTTTTTGACTAAGCAAACACAATTCCGATTGAATAAAGCTGATTGGGTCAGGTCAGCCAGCCAACTGTTTGGAATCAGGTGCGCCACTTTGCTAAGCAAAATTAAATTAACACTGGCCAAGGTTAAACCGGAAGCAGAAGCTAGATTTCGTTGCTAACAATTACTAGTTCGCTATTTTAGTTTAAGCTGCAGTTAACGATGAATAAAGTCACAGAGCAGCAGCGCTGTTAGCATCCCAGGTTAACAGTCTGTTACCGCTCCCGTTTACAGCTCACTGCCAACAGCTTACAGCTCACTGCTAGCGCTCTCTAACAGCGCTCTCACGATCCACATGGCTCTGGAACTCCCAGAACGCCTACACCTACAGCACTATACATTATTACTGCAGTGCAGAGGTCTGGTGTATATAAATTAACTCATTCTGGTTACTACTGTAAGCAAATTCCTCAGTAATATCCATACGAATATTTTGAGTAATCCACGCCACTGTGGACTGTACCATGTAAACCCTAACAATGTTAAGTAAAACAGACAGTAAAACTTTAAAGACATTTCAAAGTAAGTGCAGAGGGAGCTGTCCTCCTTGAGCATCGTTCTCTTGTTATCCACTTTTCATGTGGCTACAGCATCAGCCAACACCTTCCACATCAAAGTACTGCGTCGACTGACATTCAATCAACAGGAGCTTAAACACTTAATTTCACTCGCTCTCTCACCGTACTTCTCTCTCTCTCTCTCTCTGTCAGACACAAACATACATCTGCTGTAGCATTAAAGCACAAACACCATTCTGTGACAAGTTTTAAGAGCAAAAGTCAAAGTCGCAGCCAACGTCAGACGCAGTGGTCCGCCCCCACCACAGCCCCGCTGAGCGGCAGCAGCCAGCCGTCAACGCCAAATGGCCGCAATTTCTAATTAGAGTTATAAGTTTTCGCCTGACTTTCAGCAGCTACTACAGAGTATATATAGGGATAGGTATATAGGAGGTGCTGGAGGTACTACTCGTACATATATTTATATATATACTTACACACAACAACCATATCGCCATGTTCGGTGACCGTTTGGAAAGATGGCGCCTCACCGGAAACCTCGCAACGGAAACGTCCCGCCGACTGTAGATTGACGTCGCGCAGCGTAACAATCGCGTCGCTCGAGTTGTGCAACTGCAATTAAAAATGGTAGAGAGAGAGAGAGAGAGAATAGAGAGTGAAATTGCTGAATGATGGCAGTGAGAGAGATGGAAGATGGTTAAAATTAATGTAACGAAAAGTGGGCGAAAAGTTGTTGCAATGCAGCTCGACCCCCACCCCTCTCAATGGCGTTGTCATTGGCAGTTTCAATGGGTAGGGAGTGGGAGCAGGGGCAGGGGCAGGGGCAGGGAGGACATGCAGCCACTTTGGACGTTAATGTAACGTAATTGCTTTTGAAAACTGCCGCAGTTTTTCGCATGTTTTTCATGCCCGCTTCGGCCGCATCTTCTACTTTGTGCTGCCCTCCTTTTGGGTACCCTGTAACAGTCGGTGGAGAGCATTTCCGACCCCATAAAGTATTCCGATTAGCTATTATCAATAGCAATCCAATCCAGTTATTATCGTAACAATCGGACAACTAAATTTCGCATTATTTAATTTCTACCCACCGGAGTAGCGGGTATCTTAGAGTCGTTAAACACCGACTACAGCCTTCTTCGTGTTTGTTTTAAAAATGCCTTTTAAATGTCGGTGCCTGTCCCTTTGCAGCCGCGTCTCATGCCTCACCCCTGCAGCGACCCACTGGCCGAGGGTCAGTGTTGAATGTCTGACCAAAAAAGGGTTAGGCAAATATTTCACTTGAACTTTAAGCCATTAAATCCCGGGTCTACGCCGGTGGGTGTGGGAGATGGTGGAGTTAAGGTGGAACCGGGATCAGTTTCTTGCTGCCGCCTCGTCCCTCGTCCCACGGCCCTTGTCCCTCGGCGTGCTATCTGGCGAAGCAGAAAAGTGCACTTTGTTATCTTTTATTGCGCATTCTTTCGGCCCTCTGCCCACCAACAATCTACCCTCGTCCTTTGCTGTTGTTTTAACCTAATTTATAGTTTACCACACGGACAGAAAACGCAGACAGCGAGCAGCCCAGGTAAACCTCACGTCTAAGCAACACAGCAAACAGCAACAAACTATTCCCCAACTGCAATAAAACAAAACCGAACAACAGAAGCCACAGAAGCAGCAGGTCCTCTTCTGCCCACTGCCCCGTGCCCCCCTCCCGAAGTCACTCAAATCGATTATGCTAAAACAATATCCAGCAAATGGAGCTGAACATACAGACCCCCACACACCCCCTCCCTCACACACACACACACACACTCACGTACATCCGCATCAATTGGTTATCGGTAACTGGCATCTTCTGCCGGCTCCAACATCAAAAAGTTTACCGCTAAGCAGCGAAAAGAACAAACGGGACAGTGGTAGAAGTATTGTGATTAAGTGGCTAAAATTTGTATACTCCGGCAAGGGGAATCTGTACTAGTAACTAGTAACTGTGGAATTTTCATAATTTAAATCTCAACTTAATGGATAGCTAAAGAATGTTGTTTGGTTACGCAGCCAAAGAGTCCGCAGATCATAGTCAGTGGTGCAGCAGTGGAGTCAATATTATTATTATTTATACTGCCCCCTGCTTAACTTTGTCATCTACATATGTACATATGCAGCCTATGCAGCCGTTCTCTTTCGCCTCTTCATCTCGCGCCTTTCTTACTTTTCTTTCCTTTGCTTTGCCATCGCTCTCTCGTAGCGGGCAATTCTGCCCGCCTGCCCTTGAAGTCAGTCTGTACCTAGCACTCACTTCTCGCATATCGTAGACCTGATCTTCAATCCGAACACAGTCTTGAATCGGCCCCGCGTCTTCAATCGACCCCGTCTTGCATCGGTTAATCGACCCATCGTGAACTCCCCATCAAATTTATCTATCATAACATATGTAATGAACTAAACTACAATAAACTGTGAATATATTAACTGAACAATCATCAATAATTCTCTTTAATAACTTCGCAAAACAACGCTACTAAAATGGCTCAGTATCTTAACAAATGTCTTGACTCAATACTCGTAACTAAGGCTTTAAAGTTAAAACTGAATTGAATCCTCAAGACTTCCGACTTTCGTTCAATTTCAATTTAAATTCAGATTATTAAAAATATTATTAAAAAAAGCCCCTATTCTTCTGCTAGCTTTAATAGTCCTAAAGTAATCCTTTCCTAAATCCGCTTCTAGTAGAAATCAAAGGATATTCAAGCCGGAGAACTGTAGATTTTCACTGCTATAGCTGGGAGTGAGTGTCAATCAGCAATTCTGTGGCATCTACTCTTCCCAATTCCCACTGTGCCACAACGGAAATCGTTTTGCGGTAATGTGGTATGTGTTGCTGGTGCTATAACGCGCTTTATGGACACACTCGGTCACGCCCACCAACGCCACCGAAACGCAAAAGCGCAACTTGAAATATTTATTGCACTTAAAGAGGGACGGAGAGATAGACTGGCTGGGAGCGGGGGAAAGAGAGGCACTCACGAACAAAGCGTCACAGGACGGACCGGACGGATGGACGGACGCATTCATGGGAAAACAGATTTCACTTTTTCGGTAGCCGATTAGTGGCAAGGAGAGGGAGCTCGGAATAGAGAGAGAGAGAGAGAGTGGCATGTCGAATGTTGCCATCAACCAGGTCCGATTGTCTGCTCACGTGCTTATCTGCCCTGCCACTGGCTCCCACCCCCACTACCGCGCTACCGCGCTACCAGGCTACTGCAACTATTCCTCCCAGGAAGTGCCATTGGCTCTGCAAAGCGGTGGTGGCATCGGAATCAAAACGGGAACGGGAATGGGAATCGGAGATGGAGCTGGAGCTGGCGGTGGGTTAACCGGCAACGTCTAGTGCATTGTTACGTGCCAAAGTTTTAGTGGCAAAAATAATGGAGCGACGCCATTCTAAGTGCTCTACATCCATCCTTTACAGGCACTCCGCTTCGGCTCGGACTATTAAACAGTTCGATCTGGCAGTTCTGAAACATCCCTTCCCTGCCCCATAAGTATATGCATATATATGTTATATGTATCTACTTTCAAAGTTCTTGGCTGCTTGCAGCTCTCGAAATTTACAACAAAACTCGGTAGGAATTTCCAAAGACAAAGAATATTCAAAGAGTAATAATCTACGAGCTTTTTTGAGTTCACAATTCTTAGTATTTTCCAGTTATTAATATTGGAAAATTTTCAAAAGCGCAATCATAAATTTTCTAGGATAAAATCTGAAATATTTCCTTTAATTTCTGTTTTACCTTTTCAATTTAAACATCATCTATTCTGTATATATTTCCTCTGATTAATCAGCTATCAAAATTATATATGTACATATGGAATTTTAATCATCTTTCGTCGCTCTTTTTCCCACTCAGCACTGCAGTGCACTGGCTGAGGAATGCCTCCCAAAGTCACCTTCACTCACGTGTCTACAGAGATCCCTGACTGAGGTCATTTTTTGTTATCCAACTAATTTTTAGAGGGATGCACAACCGAGTCTTGTAGTTCTTTTGTCTCCCAGTCTGGCTCCGAAGGTAGCGTAGCGCATTGTCTGCTCGGGCAAGGCCTTGCCTAACTTCAGCCCCTGCCCGCACCACCTCACCACACCTCTGCGCACCGCATTCAGTGTAGCGATAAACAATTCGCTATTCTTCGCAAAAACACACTCGCACATGTAGACCATAAAAGGAGAGGAACATAAAAGAGGATTGAGCAGAGGATACACTGGGACATGGGCCTCCCCCCCCACTGCACTGTTGTTTGGGCAGCCACCGCAAAAAGTATGCAGCGTTGTTTGTAATGTTTAGTTTTAGTGCGACACTAACACACTCCCGGACTATTCCAACGTTTCTTTTTTTTTTTGTTTTTGCTGTAGTCCTGCCACCTGACGTTTCTTTTATCCTCTTTCCATCGGTGGTACTGGAACTGTGTGTGTGTGTGTGTGTGTGGATACTTACATCAACTTTAACACCTGGTAGCAGGAAGGTCTGAGCCGGCGGCATATCCCTGGGCACATAGCGATAGAACTCGTTGCCATCCTTATACCATTTCACCGAGTACAGGGCCTCTCCGTCCAGATCGTAGAGGCATTCCAGCTGCGCCGCGGAGCCCTTAATCACGTAATTCGGTATGCGGACCTCGACCAGTCGCAGCCCAGTAATGAAATCTGTAATGCGAAAGAGTGGGGGGACAAGAGTTACAATTTTTTGCTGTTGTTGTGTGGCATTTTTTACAGATGTTTTAAATCATTAATGGGGCTGGGTTCGGAGGGGGAACGGGAACGCGAACGCACTACCATGATTGATTTATGCGGGTGGAAATTTTAATTAATTACAAAAGTTTATTTTTACTATGGCCTGTGTCAACCCTGAGTGATGAGCCCGGCCCTTTAATGTATATTTTATATATAATTTATAAACATCCAACTCTTCCTCTGTTGGCACTTTTAATTTGCAAAAGTGCTGCTAACATAATTACACCTGGAGAAATATGGGGAAAGAATCCCTTTAGTTTCACTCCTTTAACATTGATTGGTAACAGAAAACAGAAAATCCCATTAAATGGATTTATTAAAGAAAACATATGCTTCCGATTATAGCAGATATATTTTTCTAAGTGTATGGCATTTATTATATATACGATTAATAAGTCAATGTGGTGACAGGAATGCGATGTTTTGGTTTTTGCAACATGATTGAGTGTCTGATTTATGTATTATGCTCGCTCGCCCACATCGCTGAGTCTTCTGAGTCTTTTGCCACTCACTGTGGCCACTTGCTCTCCCCATCTCCCATCTCTTTCTTTATCTATAGTTCTCTCTCTCTCTCTCTCTCGCCTCTTCTGGGTGTCCCCTCTTGGGGGCTCGTCTCGACTCTTGTAACATTTTATGGCAAACTTGTTTATTGTCAATATTGACAATGATACAAGCCCACAAAGAGAGTGAAGAGGGAGCAGAAAGAGCGAGATGGATAGACTGTGTTTGAGACACACACACACACACACACACACACCTACTCTCCTTCTGCGTGTCCTACATTATTACAGTGCCTGCGGCTGTCACTCTAGGATGACTGCTCACATGGTTGCCCTTCTCGACTCCCTCCTCCCATTCCGCCTCTTACCAATCGTTGCACATTACAAGTGTAATAAAATGTGAAAGGATATTATTGTATACATAGGCATGCCCCCACACACACACACACACACACACACACACACACATACAACATACAACAGTGTGTGGAAATATTTCAATCTCTCCGACTATAACATATCCTGCGCTCTCTCTCCTCTCATCTCTATGACTTGCAATTGTTGTCGCTCCACTTGAGGCTCAGTTTCGAGTGCAATATCATGACCAAGGCGAGGACAGAACATCTTTGGGGAAACGATGATTTAAGGTATTTTTGCTGTCTGAGCAGACATTTCATGAATGACATTCTTAATGTTGTTCAGTTCAATTATGAAATGGCAATCAAGCCGAGATGGAATCCATTGATTCCATTCTGAACTGAGGGAAAATAAGCCATGAGGCAGATTGCATTTGGGCTACGGCAGAAAAGGAAAGCCTAAAATGTCTAATAAATATCAGTAGAACTTTTAGCATTCGGGAAGGAGAGTTATTAACTTTTGAAGCCAGTCACTGCATCGAAAGAGAGCTCAGGGTGAAGTTGGGCAAACATCAAATCCTCTCTGCCTAATCCTCTTATTAATAAAAGGCTTAATTCTAGGATGAATCATGTTCTGGCTCCCAAATTGCTTTTACCTTTACAATTGGAGTTATTGTTCTTCACAGTAATGTCTAAATTTACAGAGAAAAGCATCCCCAACTTAATCACAATGCAAACCTGCAACACCCCATCCGGACGGCTAATAAACAAGCCTAGCACTGCAAGCCAGAAATTCAAAAACATATGTACAAGGGTTTGCCCACGTATGTACATTTATATACGTATATACATAAGTACCTGTGCATGTACCAGCAGCTCCCATTTGTTGCCATCAGCCCTGCCCTCATCCCTTCGTTGTAAGACACCTTCGAGTAAGAGTAGTTTAGGAAGGCACTTGCAGCAAGTACCTGGCCACAACTTGCCACAAAGTTGCACCAACTGACAGCCAGGCCAGCCAGGGACAGAGAGGGACAGACTTTAATGAGACTGCATGGGTGAAGTTTTTTTTGGGTAAGAACGCACACACACCGACCACTGTGTTGGCCAGCATCCCCGAAAAAATAAAGAAAACTCCACTGCATACAAAAGAAAACGTTGAAAATAAAAGGGGAAAACAAACGGAAAAACTTTCATTTTATTTGGTCTTCAAGTGAATTTAGGTTGCATGCTCTCTGGCGCTCGCACTCATTAATTCTGCTTAAGAGTCGAACTGCAAATAGAACGCCTGAGCGGAAGTAACATCAGAAGTCGCGGCATCAAGAGCCGGCTAAAGAGAAAGGCTATCCGAAATATCACATACTCTTGCTGATCATTGCAGGCCATACACTTTAAAGAGTAAATATCCTTCTTATTTCTCTGAGTTATAGATATACTTAAATGTAAAGCACGTGTCTGTAACATATTTCTGGTTGAATATCTGGTGCAGGCCCCAAATACCCTCTTCAAGGGCATACCAAAGGCAGAAGAGCAGAAAGCAGAGCGCCAACCAGCATCACCGCCAGCGCCAGCGCCAGGAGAAACTTTCTCTTTGGGTAATTTAAGTAACTTTGTCATTTGGGGCGCCTTGACACACTCACACACAAAAGTACATGCACAGCCCGTGCACAGTGTCAACAGGGCAGACAATGGGTGTTGCTGCTGGAGTTGAAGTTCGGGTTTGAGTGGAATTAATATGCTCAGGCTGCGACCTCTGCCAAGTGAAAAATCAATTTCCCTTTTCTTATACACATACACTCACATACGCCCAAGGAAATTCTTTCCTTCTTTCTGCTTCTTCCATCAACTTTTTCCTGAAGTGGTGGGGGGACACAAAAGTTTCCTTTCATACTTCATTGGGGTTAAGTGATTAAATTTGCAAGGGAACCAAAATAATAATAGGAATACGAAGGAAGCATCAGCAGCCAAAGAGTGAGCGTGAAATGGAATGCGAAAAAGAATAAACTTTTGCACATATGACACAAAAATTTATGCAGACACTGTCCCCCGTTCCCCTCCTCTATGTGGGGGGGGTGGTGAAGCATAATTGCTGGCAAGTCGAAACTTTTTGTGGCAAATGATTTGAAGGCAGCACGTGTCATATGAATAAAGTCAGATGTCGTGGTATCATGATATGTGGTATCGTGGTCTCTTCGCAGAAGGCTATCTATCATATGTTATCATCCTTAAAGGGTTACGTTGGCTATTTACATCGAACAGAGAACACGAAGCCCTACTCACAGACCTCTTTCTGTGTAAGATTCAAGCAAAGACAATGTACTCGTAAATAGTAAGATGCGCATCGCCCATATAATTTTTTGGTACACAATTTAGAAAGTGGCTCCAGGGCAATCCAGCTCTCTGGTTCAAGTCACTTAAGAGCATAAATTGTACGTATAAATATGTATAAAATTAATCTGAAATTAGGAACACTGCTCCATCTTCCATCTCCCTTCGATCCAAGCCTCTACCACAATACAAGTACCATTTCTTTTCAATACACCCTCCGAGTTTCAGTCCTTTTATTTTACAGGACTTTTTTCTTTAATCTCCCACTTCCTGCCACCATTTCTTGGCATCTGTCCCACTGTGCCTGTTAACAGGCGACAAATCATGTTCGATTCCGTTGTGCCTTTGGGCGTTTTCAAAAATCCTTCGACCGTCTCATCTGTTGCTGTGGTGCCCCCTGGTGGCGTTTGTTTAAGTTGTCATCGGGATAGGGAGGGGGGTTGCTGTGATGCAGGGGAGTGTGATTTAGGAGAGGGGGAGAGAGTGTGGTGGGCGGTGTGGGGCAGGTCACTGTATCGTTACACTATTGCTGGTCCATCTTTAATCTTTGGCAAAAAGTTAGCCTCGTTAGAGACTTTTCCATTTTCTTCTGCAGGTCCTTCTCCACTCTCCACTCTCTACTATTCCTTCGTTTCCTCTTCCTTTTTTTTTTCTTTTTTTTTTTTGGGTCCTGAGGGCTGGTTCAGGCTTAATATCCGTTGCCATCGCCATTGTTGTGGATGTTGTTGGTGTTGGTGTTGGTGTTCTTGGTTTATTAGTAGTTCGTGCCAGGACACGGCCAGGATCCAGGATCCAGGCGGTAGTTCTGGCATTCTGCAGCACATGAAAGGACGAACAGGAAGAAGAAGCTGTTTGCCTATTTAAATGTCTGCACATGAGCCAGGACACTCCTCCTCGTCCAGCACAAACAATGGCGGTGCGTGTGAGTGTGTGTGTTGCTCTGGTCCTGGTACTGGTCCTGGCTATGCTCCTGCCCCCTGCCCCTGCTGTGGCCACTGCCCGAGGTAGCAATATTTGCTTTCTTTGCTCTCATCATTTGCATATAATGGCTCTGTAAAAGTTCATAAGGATCTGGCCCGGGCTATGGCAGGGACTATGGCAGAGATGCGATGCCTGCAATTCGATTGTGGAATTTAATAAAAACCCCGTTGCAGGCTATGCATTCTCAGCGCTTCTTAGCGCTGTTACAGTGGCAGCTCTAAGGGCAGCACATCTCTCGTGTTTTTATATACATAATTATTTATTAGCTGGATATCATTTTGTGGGAAGACAAATAAGTAAAAAAACAACGGCCATGGTTCCCATCGATGCACATGGAAAGCGAAAGACATCATCCTTAGAGGTCAATGGTCAATATCCTTTACAATATCCGCTTCTGACAGCTTTCACTGTAACCCCAAAAAAAAAGAAATGCTACAAAAATTGATTCCGCTCAACTAAAACGAAACTAGAATCGGAAAGTGGAAAATAGGAACAGGATACCGGAGAATTTTTACTGCTAAAATATTTCACCAACTAAGATTCGCCTTCTCCCCTCTCTCTCTCTCCCTTCTGCCATCTATCTCCACCCCTAGGATACGGAAATATTCGCGATTCTCGCTTGGCCTGACTTTAATGTGCCTGGGGGCCATGGGGCCGGCCGCTGGGCGTGGCAAGCGCAACAATTACTTCAGACCTCCCTGGGGCAACATCAAAACTGGAAAAAAGCAACGCAAAATTGTATGGGAAATGA